CTGTTGTGGCAGAGAGATAATGAAAAAAAGAAGTAAAATGATTTATTCAGTGCTATGACCATTTTAATAGATACCGGTGCTATAAAGATATCTTATTCAACATAATGTCACTGCACCCCAAAAATGCTTAGACGTTGAACTTTATATGTACCTACTCGAATCCTGTTCCCGTAGAGGTACCTATGGAGCGATAAACGTAAAACGTAAAAAAAGATTAATATTGCTGTAATCATAGAAACAGGCAGTACCTACGATTGAAAGTTTTTCGTCGTTTTATATAGGCAAGGAAAAATGTATATACCTAACTTTCAACAGAAAGAAAAAAGAAGAAAGAAGAAATTTTCTCGTCATCTTTGACATTCTATGATCATTCAAATGATAACATCCATCACACTTCTGAGGGCTCGTCACTATAAACAGTGCGTGTAGAAATTTCTCACAGGCATTGCGAGATTGATGGCTAATGCGTGAGAGCATGGGATAGTGATGGCATTATATTGGTATTACGGAATGACATAACGGGCCCGTGTCGCTGCGGTCCGAGCGCCCTGACAGGTGTGCGCGGGCGCCGCTGCCCGGCCGCACCATCTGCGATGTAATTGACTACCTGTTCCAAAGCTATCAGGTGTCAGGCACCAAATACAAAATATTGGAAAAAAAAACTACTTTTTACGTGACATTTTTTTTATTTGTACCATACAATATTAAGTATTATGTAATTAAAAAAAAACAGTAGGTATATTAGACAATTTAAAAGTTAAACATGCTAAATTTCAACTAAAATCCCTTTTTCCGCTTTTTGTATGATTGACCAAGAAACATTTGAACATAAACTAAAAATATTATGTTCATCAAACTAAATTAGAATTAAAATATTAATTGCAGGTAGGTAGGTAAGTACTACCTTATTCAAAATTATTATTTTCATTAAAAAAAAAGTGTAAAAACACACATACAGCTTAAGTCTACGACATTTATGTATACAAATCATGAAATGATAATAAAATTGCATGTTCTTAAGAGAACCACAATGACTTTTTTTCTTACATCCTCTATTTAAAATAATCTGTAAATGTCAAATTAACGACTACATTTTTTCTTCTTCTTTTTTGAATAGATATTCAAAAAAATATTTACGGGCTCAGACGTGCACAGAACGAATATTTTCTATATTAAATTCAACCCAAAGTTTTTATTAAATTCAACCAAAAGTTTATCACTGTCAACTAAAATAGCGGTTAAACCACGCGGCCATTCCTCACGCCCGTCGTTTAATTAATTTAAACTTAATTAAAACAGTATATTTGCAGTAAGATGCCGTGCGAATAGTCTATACATTCTAAACATGGTAAAGAATAGCATCTATTTCGAAATGTAAGAAAAAAACCTTCTTGATCCGTTGTTGATTACACCCAACCGCTTTGTGGGAACATTATAGTGGGGAACAAAGAGACCTTGGAGCAGCAGTAGTTTGTTTAGAGGCGCCACGCACGGCTGAAGTCTGACTACCCAATACTACTCATGCTGAGCCTTTGTTCAACTCATTACATATGTGCAGTCCGTAAAAAATCTTGCAAAAGCACATCAATAGTTTATCAACATACTTTAGAATTCGTTTTCACGTTTTATTCTTAGAAATACCATTGTTTAGCCATAGACTCTATATCAGTTCGTTTTTCCCCATATAAAATACCTACAAAAGGGCATCTTTTGGGTTTCACTGTAATGAAAGATAATAAAAACTAGTCTATATGAACGTAAGATCATGGTTGAAATTGCTATTTCCTTGTAATCTGACAATTTTGATAGAGGTCGATGATAATACACTTTCCGCATTTATTTATTACCTAATCATAATCATAATCATTTATTTCGTAATAAATTACACGTCAATAATAAACATAGCAGAAAATACATAAAGTACTAAGTAATCATTCAATTAATTCAATATTTCAATTTGCACATTGTTCATGTATAATTATTTGTTCTTTTTCCATATTACTTCATAGTTGTGTACGTATAACTTTTGCTATTCCTCTACAAAATTTTAAATTAATTAGCACACTGTTGACTTATTTTTGACCTTGTTAAAGAATGTAAAATCAGTTTCACTTTAATGGACTACCTACTCCGCGCCGGCTTCCGATCCCTAGGGAACATTTAATTGTAACAAAAAATCCAGAATATTAACCTGTTTTTAATACAGGTATTATTATAATAATACATATAACATAGTTTTGTGATAATTCTACATAAATCTAAAACTTTCCCATTATTGAATAACTGACATTCAAAATTTTAAATTTAATACTTTGGACAGAAGTATCGAACTATAAAACTATTAATTTTCTTTATTTGATAGTGTAATTAGTAGGATATAGTTCATATCTTGATTTATTATTGAGTAATTAAAAAAAATAAGTATTCATATTTAATTATACATATTACTGAAGAACATGAACGCAATTACACACAAGGTTTCAAATTCTTTCAAATTTACGGACGCTTGCAGTTTCACTGCTGTTTCTCAGCATGGTGAAAACATTAAGTAAATTGAAAAAAGTACAGTGAGAACCGTGTATTGTTCGATAAATACCCGTTTATTTAGCACATTGTGGCCAAGGCTGCCGACCATATTTGTACGCAGCATTGATTCAACCAACACGCAAAACGTATAGATACATATTTCACTTAGCAACAGCTAAGTAATATTTTAATCACAATCCATGAAATTTTAGATAATATAGCGAAAAAACTTTACTTATCTTATTTCTGAATAATACAACTATCCAAAAAGTTATGTTGGCAGTGACATCCTTAGTTTCTTCTTCAACTTTTACTGACATTAATATTGACTGTTGACCCTCTGAGGCCTAAGTCAACAATTGAGTGTGAAATGTCACGAGGTGGCATTGTGCTTCGAAATTGGTGTTGTTTTCCTTACCTCAATGTTATCTATATCGTGGTTAGTAAAATAGGTAAAACATTTTGTGAGCAAGCTCACAAACATCAAATATCCGATAATATTGATCTAACAGTGTTTGTGTAGCTGTATAGAAAGTATTTGTAAAGTTAGTTCCTTTCATCTTATATGTATTTTAAATTTATAATATAATGTGTAACATTTGATTCGTAAAAAGTTAGGTACAGCGGTTTTCCCGCCAAGATTTGAGCGCCCGCTTGGGGAAATACGTCTACCTTATAAAAATAAAGCAGCAAGTCAGCAGGGACTAAATTTAAATGTCATCCATAGCTCAACAGAATACGGATTGGGGTTAGGATCCGCAATCCGCGATTGTTAATACCGGAGTCTATAGTTGTAGGGTTTACCATCAGAGTCATTATAAAAGTTAGCTTGCTATCCCTCCCTACAGACGACGTATTGTTACTCTCACGGTTTGTTACTACTATCAATACTACATTCCCTTAACATGCTTATAAATTACCTTTGAAGACTTTTCGAAAACTTTCTAGTTTCTCCTAGTACAAAATTAAACGGTTATTTCATATGTTTATACAAAAACAAATCCGTACTTTAGGTCAGTGTCTCTACATTTAGACCTTTTAAAGTTATAACTGTTATTAGATTACTTATGATCATGGAAAGCCATTTCCTAGTTTAATATCTAACAATTTTGATAGAGATTGATAATAACTACTCAATTGCCGCATTTTCTTGGTATATATCGCTCGTTTTTCGGGCATGATTTTCTTAATATATCCTTAAACAAAAATATTTCATCTCCGATTTCTTTCTGTCATAAATATGTGACAATACACAGAACTCCTATTAAAATAACAAAGGAAAACTGTTATTTTCACATGAATGTATCCAGATACAGTTGGTCGTTGGGTGTCGGTTTGGTTGGCTTGTTGCATCATACAGCGCAAGCACTGACCGCTCGCGCCGGATGCTTCTAAGGAAAAACGACTTTATCCCAGTATGGAGATGTGCAAGTTACATAAACGCATAGGCGCACCGCCACTAGTGAAACTAAACGTTACGTGTTGCAATGCATTACTAATCCTTCACGACAACTCTAACATGCCCAAGTTTCTATGTCCTTCTTATGTAATGTCACCTTTTCAGAGCGTGTCATTCATCATTCAACCGTTTAATGACTGCTGGTACCGCCTCCGTTTCAGCTGAACTTTACTTATAAATGGATTTATTCACTGCCATTGACATTAAGATTTTTTCAACTAAGACAATACAGCATCTTATACCTCTACATTATACAAGTAACAATGAACTTAGTATACCTATACTAACAGGATAAAAAAACAGATATTTATAATATTTTCAGGTATTTTATATAACACTAGGTGATGGTCATATTTAAATTGTTTTCGTATGTGTTCAATAAAATGTCCACGTCTGTTGGCATGAGTGACTCATTAAATTTATATTCTTGGGATTTCCATGCCTTAGAATGGTGACTTGACTTGAATAGCTATTTTATATATACATGTGAGTTTAAAATTACGTTGTAATTGTTACAATGTTGGGTGCCGTTGCCAACTTTTATCTGGAGTACTGGAGATGGATACTTATGACTTAAAAGGGGAAGCAACTTACCCTTGTGACGTAAGAAAAATTTTTCGTGTAAAAGTTATAAATAGGTCGCCACCTTAATATGAAAGTTACGTTTTTATTAGGTTTTCCTTAGTCTTTTATCTCTGCATAAGTAACTGTAATGTTATATTGTGACAGTACCAAATTTTAACGGACTGCTTTCAGGACTTAAAAGAAAAACAAGATAATGCATCAAGTCTTATAAGATTAGTCTGACTTATTTGCTACCATATAACAGAAACAAGTTTTTTATTGCAAATCTTGTTGATTCGAAATCCGCGGTAAATGTTAATGGAATGAGATCAGATAGAGAATGTATCGAGAGAATGCGAGCGCGGTCGCGGGGTCGTGTCGTGCTATGTTGCGACACAGTTCCATACGGCGTCGCTGGTGAGTTTGAAGTGAAAAGTGAGGCGGTGCCAACCTTGAGATCATCGGTGAGTGCGGGTTTGGTGGTGTACGGGGCTCATTCCTCCCGGTTTGAAGCAATCCGCCTTCCCTCGCTGTCAGGCGAACAGCCGTTAGAATAACTCCGTGGAACTCGCCACACACCGCTCGCAGTGGGATTTTATAGCGATACACTTCAAATTGTATGGCCAAAAACACACTATCACTCAGCACTTCAACGATACTCCAGGGTTTGGAGAAAACCGTTCGCGTAAGAGGCACTCGAACGACAGATGAAGTAGCGACAAAACAGTCGGACGTCAGTACGCGCGACCGAGGAATCGGTCGGACAATGACTGAGCGGTGCGGGCGCAGGCTGCAGCGCGCGCGCAGGCCGCTGCCACCGTCCCTCACGCCCCGCCCGCGCCGCCGACGCCGCACCGATGCAGCCTCGCCCTCCACCGTATTTTCCACTGGCCGAGCTTTTGCCAGCCCTGTTTTACACCAGTTACGTACTAAAACTGCAAGGGCGATGGAACGAACTCCAAACCTGTTTCGACCTTATCAAAACAAAAAGGCCGCCGAGATCTTTTCTAGACAATTACAATTTTAAATCTCCGTTCGAAACTCATAAAACGAAAGATGAGTTGAAATTCCCGAGCTTGAATTATGAGGCTTAAAATTTTATGAACACAATCTCATCTCAACCTTCGTTTTAAATGAAGACATGTAAAAAATGTGTGATGCTTCTGTGTGGCTATTAACATCCTCTGGGGCTAGAGACCGCCGGGGCTCAGATCAATAAGCGTGTTTCGTTTTTTTCTCATCACCAATTACAACTATTTTTATAGGTCCATTGAAAAACACAATCGCAGTAATAGCTCCACAATTCGATTGTGTACGGAGAGTACGCCTTAACAGATATTCAATTCAAAGCTCGACGGTGAAGATAAAATTGAATACAAAATAACATAGGTTGGGGTTGGAGTCAGGCCTTTGAATTAAGTGTTTGCAATAAAAGCATAAAGTTAACCTATGAATATCGAAATAAACCACAATATTATTTTTACAAAACAAAAGAGGCACATTGTGGTGATCGGCGTGATTATGCAGTATTACCGTCCAGCCTCTGTCTCAGCTAGCTACTTTTGTATCTTAATTTGCGATTATCTACAATCCAATAATTAATTTAAACGTGATCATAAATCAACTATTACTGGTGATTACTGTTTATGACGAAACCACAAAGATTTCGCTATCAGAATTACTTATTGAGAATAAAAACACATAAACGTAGTAGAAGACAACTGCAATTTATACTGACGAGTAGGTATTAATTAAGTCACTTAATGTATCACAAAAACATTAAAATGCTTTTAAGTGGCACGTTAGCAGTCAAAAAATGTTGAATTTATTCATAACATACCATGTTCCTGGCGTATACTTGATGCGCAATGACCTTTTACAGATCGTCCTATATTTTAGACATCAACGCGCTCGCTTTTCTCCTGTCACATTTTAAATATTGATTATTGTAATTATTTAAAAAATTATACTTTTATATGTGTGCGTAATAATGTGTATATTTGTGTATTATTTAGTGATGTATTTTTTAACAATATATCGATGTATATGGTAGGTATTGGAATCACCTGCACATAGTGAAACACGGAATTTTAGTGATTTTTAATGGAAAAACTGATAAAAGCCAATTTTGTTTTAAGTCTTGGAAGTCATGAGTTTAATAAAATCCAATTTTGTGTCGGATAAATCCAAGATGGTTTTGAGTAATAGGTATTTGAACACAAATAACTTAATCTTTAGCCTACAAGTCTTAGATATGTCTATCCCTGCATGATATTATATGACGTGAATGAATTATCACTTTAATGTACACCATAAACAACAATTATTATGATTATGTACAAACAGCGGCCTTATCACTCGAAAGCAGTTTCTACCGTGCAACCGTATGTTAAACCGTACTATTATATACATCTAGAATAGGCTGTCGATGGTGTCATTTATAGTGTAATTAATTACCTTTTTAGACAATTTACATACATACAAATACGTAGACGTGAGAGTATGGATTTTCTACAATATCAAATATTTTATAAATTTTCTGAGTAATTTTGAAAAATAAACATCTGCGGTATGCAGTAATCCTCGTTCGAGCAACGAATTCGTGGAATTAAATGTGGTAACAACTCAGATATGATGCATATTATACAAATTATGGGTGACGATCAACGATAGTTGAGCAAACGGGTTTAGTTGCATGTGTATACATTCCGTATGAAATGAAATTCTTCGTGTATTAACCCCAGACCTTAGTGAGTGTTAATTATTAGGGTTCGGTAGTCCGTACCCAGACTGATATAACGGAACCCAGTTACTGAACAATCGCTGTTCGTTCGTCTGCTAACCAACTGTGTCTCATGAACTGCAATAGGTAGTCGGAATTTTCAAATATATACTAGCCTTTTTATGGCAGCTAAAGTAGAAAATAAAGGTGTTCCCATACAAGAACTGGTTTTTTTCAGCCTTTTTCTCGACCATATCTAATCACATATTTTTAGATGTCGTATAAGTCGGTCTTACACTTGGTCTTTTTTTATTAAAAGCAATTCAAATCACTCCACCCTACCAAATACCAAGTGCAATTAGAGGCCAATCCAGATGCAAATTAGCTGATACAGTATTTATACGTAAACTTGCTGACCCGGTAAACTTCGTATCGCTTACAATCGGAGAGAATCGATACATTTTGCTTCATTAAGGGTTTTAATAACGAAATAAAAATTGAACAAATTTAAATAGTTTATTAGGACATAACAAAGAAAATGAAAATTCATTGAATTTTCATATTAATGCCTTAATTTACTTTGAAGGTCAGTTAATTTAATGCCTTAATTTACTTTGAAGGTCAGTTACAAAAAAAAGACTCCCATTAACCCTATCTTTATTTGGCCTTGTTTTAAAGTTTAATGTTTCAGGAAGTTTCTAAAAGCACTTTGAACTCAAAATCCCCCCATTTACATTTTTTTTTCATACTTTGAAAATTTGTGTGTACTGAGCTCAAATCGTAATTTTGAACTTTCGAACAAATTCTAAGTAAATTCTGCAATGCCTAGACAAACCATAAATTTTAGGGTGCTAGGTTAGACTATGTTAGTCAGTTATCACAAAAAAAACTGAACCAGAAACGTCCAACAGAATGAGAAAAAAAAACGAAAACGGATGTTAGGTGGTAATTACGAAAAAAATCATTAAAAAAATTATAACTCGAAAACTACGCAAAATCGTAGAACATACATGGGGGTGATTTGGATACTCCTCATCAAAAAGTATCTAAATTTTACGCTTGAACGTCAACTCCCCGGCCACCCTGTATAATCTGTTATTTCAAGGGCGAATCAGCAATATATATGATGCGGTTTCACCCGCGTTTATTTGAGGAAAATGGTTATACTTACTGAGTCAAACTTAAAATATGGACATACGCTGTCGCGGGCTTTTTTTTAAGAACTTTTAATGGGAAATATTTCCATTACAAATGATTATTGGTTAACTTTAACCGTTTACGTAGCGCATGCAACAGAAACTCTGAAATGAATTATTTTTTCCTATTTTTGTTTCAATTTTCATCGATCTCTCCGCTCTTACTGATCGTAGCGTGATGTTGTATAGCTTTCCTCAATAAATGGACTATCTAACACAAATAAACTTTTTAAATCGTACCGGGAGTTCCTAAGGATATCGCGTTCAACCAAACAAACTCTTCAGCTTTATAATATTAGTATAGATAGTATAGATAAAAGCGGCGCATCTTACTCGCTTAAAATCTCTAAAATTTTGTAGGCGACAATGAATGAACAACTTACAGTTTGCAAAATTTTTTAGATAAAATAAAAGAAATGAGTTGAAGCGGCTTATTCTACGTAATAAAGAGCTCTTCTCGAATAAATCTACAGACATGAACGAAACCTCTGCACCTTTATCGCGAACCGTCCTATGTAGTCAGAACGTCCTGTATATTATCTTCGACAGAGTATTACGAATGATCATAAAAATCTTCAATCATCCAATATAGGCTCATGTTTAATAGATTTCTATTATTGAAGTTATACTTCTTTAGGCGCGTTATAAAACTTAAAATTGATATAGGGATAAATCACACATAACTACGTTTAAATAAAAAACTTTTTATTTAAAAATTTAATGCTTACTTAAAATATTTAAAACATGATTTAATTACATAAAATTCAAAATGTATTCGACGGCATCTATAATAGTACTTCACTTAAATCGCTAGCTACTTAAACTAAATTGAAATCTATTAAATCAAAATGTTTCGACGGATTATCAGTGTTATAATGTTATGCAATAAATAATCATAGGAGTTGTCGAAGTCAGTCGAATGCACAAACGTGATGCTATTAGTGAGGTCGGCCGGCTCGTACGCCGGCCAGCCGCGGCGCTCCCAGCCGCGCACTGCTGTGCTCCAGCCCTCATTTCCTACAGGATTGCTGCAATCCAGATAATCACTACAAAACGTAATAGCTTACCACTCCAGAGAAAAATACTTCGTTAATGACCTGAACTGTAAACGCCGCTATCTAAGATAAATTACACCATAAACAACTCCGGCTTACGACCACGTAAGAACTCGCAGCTAGCGTTGCGTGACTTTTATGGCGGACTGCGAATATAGACCGTTCATAGTCGACTCCAAAATACTGCGAGTAAACCGTTCTTGTTTCTAATTCCCAACGGTCTGAATGTTGAAGTCATTTTCCACGGCGTGGCACCGACACCGGTGTGCGGCGTAGCGGTGACCGGATAACGGTCGCGGAGGTACTCTGCTCACACTCGGAGGGCTCCCGGCCCGTGCTCACACCGAAACCTAAGAATGGTCCTATACAAGTCGTCATTATCATAACCCGAGCCAGTGTCACGGCCATGCCATCGCAACAGCTCGCCACGCAACAAGGTTGCATTCGCATACGTGGCCGTACGTAATGTTATGCCATATCGCCGCCGCAGCACCATGTCATTATAATCGGAGAAACACTCGATACTTACTGGTTCACATCGTAGCTGACTTATGTTCCATAATAAAAAAACATTTTTAGCACGGTTATCATATTTATTTAAGCATTTAAAGGAAAAGGCACTTAAAGGACAGTTTGATTTTGTTATTTGCCAGTATGACACCACTTTTCTCTAGAATATATATGTATGACATCATACAAACACGATCTATCCTTGATGATTTGAATATGAAGATATTATTAAAGAAGTATCGTTTGCGGACAAGAAACAACTTTTACTTGTATCAATTAAGTTTCCATATAAGAATCGAGGGAGGGATATTTCATGAAGATTTGGCACAGAGCGTGGGCGTGGGTTTTGCCAG